GGCGGCTGCCATTGTATTATCTGGAACGTTGAAGATAATCGCATCAATCCCCTGTTCGATAAGTCATCGATGTGAAACTTGACAGACAGGGTAAAGTTTGTGACGGTAAGGGTTTGAGAAGTTATGGTATAGAAAGAATGGTACAAAGAATTTGTGTTCTAATGTCCCAAGGGAAGTATGGATTTGTGATTTAATGGTCTAGAATGGTAAGAGTTGTGAACTAATTTACCTAAGGTTGTAAGGGAGTTGTGGTGTAATTATCTAGAGTGATCAGAGATTGTGATCACGTGGTCCTAGCGTGGTAAAGTTATGTGATTTATTGGCCCTGGGATGGCTATAGTTTGTGATCTAGTTGTCCTTGGCTATATAAGGTTATATAATTAATAGCAGGACAGAAAGTGTTTATATAACTCATATTCAAATACTAAATACATTTTAAAACAGTTATGTGACCTATGACTGCATTTTGGAGATGGCAGAAATTTTATGTTAAAAAAGACATTGGAATTTGAAATCTGATTCCTATACACTGGCGTGTGTTGTAATTGTTTTAATTTCATACGTTATACTCCTATATTAAGACTAAATCGATTGAGCTAAAACAGTAAACATGTTTCTGATATGTTATAATTGATTATAACATTGTTTGTTTCCTGAAAGCTGTTGATGACGTGAGGTTTGGGTTCACGTGGTTCGTAAACATTAAACTCTAGCCTAGCTGTCCAAAATTTACTCTGGACGATCTTCGGTGCAAAAATTGGGCACTTGGCTCTGTTTGTCCTGATTATCTATAGCTATTTACAGCTTGGTCGTCAAGAATCGTATAAGTGCATGGACTGAACAGTCTAATTGCTTTGCTTTCACAAAAGTTGTTTACCCCCCTACATGAAATGATGAAATTTTAGGATAAATTTAATGATGCCAAAACACATCAAAACAACTTACTTACCACTTTTCTAAAGCTGTGCGATTGAACGAAAAAAAATTAAGAAAAACGGACTCTTTACGTGGCGAAGGGATCCAAAACAGACTCTTCACCGAAGCGTAGGGATTCAATATTTCCTTAAAGGACATGACCTACATATGCAAGCCAATGAATTGTCGCTAAATTGTCATGTGACTAACACGTGATGAGTTATTAATGTCAACATGGCAAACGATCAATATTATTGTTTGCGGATATCTCTGAATTTTTCTAATATAAGCCATCTCTAAGCTCAAATTGTGTGATCTAAATTAAAATCGTACGTGAACAGATGTGAATGGATCACGTTTTACGTTTACAAACGATTAATCACCATAACAGAATTCTTCTTTATTTTTATCAGATGGAGGTTTGTAATTCATGGTGGGATTGATGGGTAAAAAAGTTTATTTTAATTGTAATTCATACATTGTAGATTAGGGTGGTTGGAAAGTAACAAGTTACTATCCCACAGAAGGGTAGTTAGTTAATACAATACAATATTGTCACTTAAAGACGTAGAAGCATACATTCATCTTTTTTGGTTAAAATATAAGTTACACACATTTACTAGACTACTTTCCCCTTATATCCACTAATAATATTAAATTATTCCAGGAATTCTTCTAGATTTTTATCAGATGGAGGTTTGTAATTCATGGTGGGATTGATGGGTACTCAAGAGTTCCAGTTTTTCTAGTTGTAAATACAAATAACAAGGCTGATTCTGTTCTTCAAGTATTTATCACGGCTATAGAAGAATGGGGTATACCAGAGAAAGTGAAGTCTGATAAAGGAGGAGAAAACGTGAAAGTTGCCCAGTTTATGCTTGAGAATAAAGGAATAGGAAGTTTTATTTCAGGCAGAAGTGTACATAATCAACGGTATGTATTCATCGGGAAAATTGAATGGTTAAAACCACTAGCTCTATGTAACTTTGATATAGGGGCATCATCTTATCCTCATAGATTTTCTTTGTTCTTTGTTTTTATTATAACAAAATAAGTGCAAATTCATCCTAAATACCTAAAATCATGCTCCTTTGATTTATGTGGATTTATCTCGAAAAGACACTTAATTAGGTATTGAAATGATCAGATGACTTATCCACATATTTAAATATGGAGTGGAGGCACATCTATCTATTATCAGCTGTTCCATGGAAGATCAAAATATTCTGGACATAGATAATGAACTCCACATATTTGCTTTACACTTTGTATTTCAAAGGCAAATTCAGCAACATCTAGATAAATTTAGATCTGCACTTATTAGCCATATTCCCCTTTTAAATGTCATTCTGTATTCGGGAGGAAAGAGGCAAGATCAAGGTTTCGGCAGTACTCAGATTTGGGGATCCTCCCCTATCTCTGTGGGAGACATACGTCTGGTCTGTTCCTAAGTTTGCGAGAGAGTTGAATTAGTAGAATCACAAGCAGTAGGGGTTTAATAGGAAGACTTTTGGCGAACAGGAACACAAGCAAATCATAACCAGGTCTATGAACGAGAATTAGTGACGCCCACAGGTAACGCTTTACCCCGGGAAGACTAGAGTTACCTCCCATTATTCATGTGGACTCACTCCACTAATTCATTTGCCATCTCTTCCCATGTTAAAACACGAAATTGAACCTTCTATAACTTTTTCCAGAAATCTCGCTTTCCAATATGTCGAATGAAAGCCTGACCAATTCTCAATGTAGAGTGATGTTATAACGGTGCCACTTTGTATTCCCAGTAAAACTATGAAATTTGAATTGTTGTGTTGAACAACTCACCATGCTGTTGACATAATACCCCCTCATAAAACAAATAACACATAATTAAACTTCTATTTTTAATCAAATATGTTCGGTCCACGTGATCTTATTATGATGACGTCAGAGGTTATTAAAAGCCAGATACAATGATTCCCTCATCACTGTCTGTAATTGGATATTCAGTTTCTACCGTGGTGTAGTTGACACTGAATAAGTTGCAATTGAAAAATTGGTAAGATAATGTCAAACATCTTATGTCTTTTTTACATAACTGGAAGCAATCGGAAAGAGTTTGAGCAAAACCGATAAAGAAAATGGGTTCTTCAAAGAGATTGCATTTGCTTGAAGTGGCTGGTCCAGCAAAGCTACACCGGGTATCGTTAAGACAAGCTTCAGTACAATTGGTTGATAGAGCCTGACCATAATTAACAATTGTTATAAACTTTGCTGGGTATACCTCTGAAATATAAATCGTATTAGAGACAATTCTGGAAAGATCTCAGTTAATCAAAACAACAATCATAATGAGGCCATATTGTCTTCTTAACAAGAAAGATCACTTTGTTAGAAATATAAATCTTCGTCCAACTATACACAATAGACAATATTAAACCTAAATTACCTGCTGGACAAGCTTGCTCTTCTATCCATTTACCATTTTCACCACATCTCTGAGCTCCCATCAAACCATTTATGCCATTAAAACATTCAAAAGTTAAAACTTCATCAATATTTCTGGATTCTGTTACATTATCAGAGTTCTTGATATTCACACCTTGTGGACACTCTAAAATGAAAAAAATAAATCTATTTGGCAATATTCCGAGGGTAGAGGTGGGTGAAATCAAAATGTGATGTGATAAAAATAGATTTATTAGACAATGACAGGAAATTAGTAGCTCAAATGGGAATTAGTCCTAATAAGAATGAGCCCAAAACAGACTGATACAAGGTTATAAACGTAAATTGTCAATAATTGGTATTGTTATAATTACAACGAAGTTTTTATTGAGTTCATAATTCGAGGCTTTTCCCAATTTATCCAGATTTAAGAATTTTTTCACTAATGGTAGGCTG